ATGTTATGCTGTGGCATCGTAGGCTAGGCCATCCAAATTTTATTTATCTTCAGAAGTTGTTGCCAAACTTATTTATTAATAAAAGTCCAAATTTGTTTTCTTGTGATATTTGTCAACTTGCCAAGCATACTCGTGCTCATTATCCTTCTAAAGTTCACCATGACTCTTCCCCATTTTCCTTAATTCATAGCGACATATGGGGTCCAGCCCGTGTTAAAAATATTTCAGGTACTCGATGGTTCATTACCTTCATTGATGACCATTCTCGAGTTTGTTGGGTGTATCTTCTAAAGGATAAGTCCGATGCTGCATCCGTGTTTAAAAAATTTCATGCCATGGTTCAAACCCAATTCCAAGTTGCTATACAAATTCTTCGTACAGATAATGGCAAAGAGTATTTTAACTCTATTCTTGGAGAATATCTTTCCCAACATGGCATCCTTCACCAAAGCTCGTGTCCTGACACACCCCAACAAAACGGAGTTGCGGAAAGAAAAAACCGACATCTCCTTGAAGTTGCTCGGGCTCTTATGTTTACCACGAGTGTTCCTAAATATCTTTGGGGAGAGGCAGTTCTCACTGCCTCGTATCTGATAAATCGAATGCCATCTCGCATTCTGAAATTTCAGTCTCCTCTTTCTAGTCTTGTTCGTATCTTCCCTTCCTTCCGAGGTGTCTCCTCCTTACCTCTCAAGTTATTTGGTTGTGTTGTATTTGTCCATATTCCCTCCCATCAACGGTCTAAGCTTGATCCTAAGTCTCTCCAGTGTGTCTTTATTGGTTATTCTCCTACTCAACGTGGCTATAAGTGTTATTCACCCTCTCTTCGTAAGGTCTTTGTCTCTATGGATGTCACTTTTTCTGAGAATGACCATTTCTTCCCCTCGACTTCTCTTCAGGGGGAGTCTATAGGAGTAGATGAAGATCAGTCATGGGAACCTATTAATGCCACAGTATTACCTCTACTTTTGGAAACAGGGGGAGCTACAGAATCCTCACCATCAGGAGCCTCCTCAAAATGGGGACAAGTTTATAGCTGGCGAAAGCCTCCTCAAAGTGTGAATAACCCAGAGCCTCTACACTGCCAGGATTCTGAACCATGTTCTAGTTCCAGCACCCCAATACTTGAGTGTCATGGTGAAAATGATCTACACTTGCCCATTGCTCTCAGAAAAGGTACTCGATCTTGTACTACTCATCCTATTTCTAATCATATTTCATATGGAAAGTTGTCCCCAGGGTTTCGTGCTTTCAATACTATGTTGGATAGTACAAAGATACCGAGAAATATACATGAGGCTCTCAATGATAAAAAATGGAGGGATGCTGTCTTTGAAGAAATGAATGCTTTAGAAAGAAATGGAACTTGGGAGATAGTGACCCTACCCAAAGGAAAAAAGGCAGTAGGATGCAAATGGGTGTTTACAATAAAATTCAATGCAGATAATAGCATCAACAGATACAAGGCAAGATTGGTTGCAAAGGGTTTCACTCAAACTCATGGGATAGATTATCATGAGACTTTTGCTCCGGTTGCTAAAGTCAATACCATCCGAGTTCTCTTATCTCTTGCTGCCAATCTAGATTGGCCTCTGCAACAGTTAGATGTGAAGAATGCATTCCTAAATGGTGACTTACATGAAGAAGTCTATATGGATCCTCCACCTGGTTTTGAAAGGGGAAATGAATCAGTGTGTAAACTAAAAAAGTCTCTATATGGATTGAAACAGTCTCCCAGAGAATGGTTCGACAAATTCACACAAGCAGTCAAAAGAAGAGGCTTCATTCAAGCACAGACTGATCATACTCTCTTCCACAAACACTCTAAGGATGGTAAAATTGCTATTCTTATTGTATATGTAGATGATATAATTCTTACAGGTGATGATATTGAGGAATTGAACACCTTGAAGAAATTTCTAGCAGCTCAATTTGAACTCAAAGACCTTGGCACTCTCAAATATTTCCTTGGTATGGAAGTTGCTAGGAGAAAAACAGGCATCACTCTAACACAAAAGAAATATGTTCTAGATCTTTTGTTGGAAACAGGAATGTTAGGGTGTAAACCTGCTGAGACACCTGTGGAACCTAATACCAAGTTAGGTATTGAAGATGGGAATGAGGTGGATAAAGAACAATATCAGCGATTGGTTGGTAAACTAATCTACTTATCTCATACGCGTCCTGACATTGCCTTTGCGGTGAGTATGATTAGTCAATTCATGCACTCACCCAAGGAGAAGCATCTTAGTGCAGTCTATAGGGTGCTTAGATACCTCAAGAATACTCCAGGAAGATGATTATTCTTTAAAAAGGGGTATAAAAGGACAATTGAAATCTACACTGATGCAGATTGGGCAGGCTCATCAGTAGACAGAAGATCTACCTCAGGCTATTGCACCTATGTGTGGGAAAATCTTGTTACTTGGAGAAGCAAAAAGCAAACAGTGATTGCAAGAAGTAGTGCTGAAGCAGAATTTCGAGCTTTAGCTCATGGAGTTTGTGAAGGAATCTGGTTGAGAAGACTTCTTCAAGAGTTGAAGATTTCATATTCCCTACCAATAAAACTATATTGTGACAACAAGGCAGCTGTTAGCATTGCTCAAAATCCTGTGCATCATGATCGAACAAAGCACGTGGAAGTTGATCGTCACTTCATCAAAGAAAAATTAGATGATGGAAGTGTGCATTTGATACATGTTCCAACCAAAGAGCAAACGGCAGATGTCCTTACCAAGGGCCTACACCGTCCAGCATTCGAAGACTTGATTGGCAAGTTGGGAATGATCAATATTTACCTCCCAACTTGAGGGGGAGTGTAGAAAATTAGAATTCAAACATGTTTCCGTTTTTATTTCCTATTAATTAGGATTGATTATGATTGATTAGGATTGATTATGATTGATTAGGATTAATTGTGATTGATTAGAATTGATTGTGATTAGGATTGTGATAGGATTGATTAGTCATCGCTTAGTCATTCTTAGCGATTCTTTCTTGTATAAATACTCACTCATGTAATTTATTCAATATCAATATACAAAAACTTCTTTTCAATAGATACTAAATTCTTTGAAATACCAAACTAATGATATTTATATTTTTAAAAGACTAAAATATGAATTTATTTTAAATTTTTTGTATTTTATTTTTACCATAATTCCGTAGTTTAAATTAGACTATAAACTTTTTATTTAATATGATTATATAGCGTAAGGAATTATATTAAACTTTATATGTATACGTGGAACTTATTAAAAGGAGGAGTATCGTGTTTGAGTTTGTAGACGAAATTTAAGTGACTCTTATTAGTATTTAGTATCCGGCAAAAATTTAATGAATCAATCATTCTGTAGCAGCCAATAACGACTAATATAAGTACTGATACAAGCGAACGGCGTCATTAAATGAGGGAAAGTTCAAATGCTAGCATGATTTGTTGTTGGTGACTGGTGAGTTATATTTTCAACACTCCTGTATGTATATCATTTATTAAATATTGATCTAGTTTATTAGCCTGATGTACCCTAAAGTATAAATCTAATTTGGTTTATATCTAAAAATTTGGCCAAAATTTATTAATTTATTCAAATCTATTATACCTTTCTGATTTATTGCAGAATTAGAAAAATAAATTATATAAAAAAATTATTTAAAATGAACAATATGAAATATCCCAATATATAAGCTATGCTAAACCTAATAAAAGCACGATTATGACTTAAGCTGACATAATCCGGATAGTAGGTCCCTAGTATGTTGCTTGGCTTACATAAATTCCCAGTTTCTACCCCTCTTTTATGATTAATTAACACATGAGTCTACATAATATGACAACACTAAAAACATGATCGCGTAAGATGGAATCAGACGCAAACACAGATTGGTCCCTCTTCTATGTTCTGTTGTTCTCTTCTCCCCCGTCACGAAGCATCCTGATTTCGCATCAAACACTTCACCTTAGTGCGCCACTTGGTAAACAGCTGATTTTTTAAAATGATTATATACACAGAAGATAAAGTTATTTCCAATAAATTTAAAACGACATCGTTTTGGATTATAAAATTAAAAAATTATAAAGACAAAGACTAATATAACTCTGCAATATATTATAATTACAAAACACCTTGATTTTCACTCAAAATAATGTCATTTTGAGCTCACTAGAGATAATTTTATCTCCGGAGAAATTCTTTACCCTTTTAAAAATTATAATACAACTTTAATATTGATTGAGTTTCTTAAAATGATACAACCTTAATACGGTCTAGATTTTACCTAATTGAATTTTTTGGTACCCGCTAAATTTATTTGCTGATTCCGCTGCTTCACCTACTGCCTTTTCTTCCTTACCCTATTATTGCCGACTCAATCACGTCAACACACGTGTCCATCCAACACCTGATTATCAGATTATCCCAACTCCGCTTCCAATTCCAAACGTTCTATATAACCGACTATGGATGATTTCTTTTTCTTTCAAAAACTGTTTTTTTAAATATTTATTTAAATAAAAAAATAGAAGTCATAAAAAAATTTAATTTTTTTTTAAAAGCTAAAAATTTTAACTTTTAAAAAAAATATTAAATATTTTTTAAAATATTAACTTTTGTAAAATCACTTGTAAAATAAACAAGACAAAAAAAATACTTTTAAAAATCCATTCAAACGGATCCCATAACCGATATGGGCAAGCTCTCGTTTTATATATAAATAATGAAAAAATTATTTATGCTTTTAAATATGATTATTTTAGTTAAAAAATATTAAAAATTAATATTTTTTGTTTAAAATTTAAATAAAAAAACTATCTACTTTTTCTTTTATAAATTTTTTTATATATCTTTTTCTTTCATTTAAAATTACACAATATTACGTCAATTAAAAATAACAAGAACCAAACCCTTAAATAAATAATAAAAAAAAAACTAATCCCCTGTTTTATAATTTTTGAGCGTGCCATCTTACCTTATAAAAACCCCGTGTAACTGCATCACATGGTGTAGCTCCACTTTCTTCATTCTCTTCTATATCGTCATTTTTTTTTTTTTGTTATGCTTCTCATTGCTTATTTACGGTTATAGCCTTCTGGTTATGATAGCTTGCACACGGCGTTCTCGTGCTTCTCCACCTCTCGGGTTCCCTCGCGCTAGATATTTTAGGTATCGCCGAATGAGGTAGAAAGCCAAAACTACTCAAATTCCAAATTTGCCCCTCCCTGTAAATATTTTTTATCCTTAGGCTACTAAGGATAAAATACATGCCAACCTCGAAGAACAACCACCGTAACGGCCAGATCGAGAATCACCGGCGGGGGAGGTTAGGAGAGAGATCTTCGTCTTTTCACGGTCACATATCGGAGTCCGCCATGTCTGCCAACCAAATCCGGCGCCCGAAAACGGTGCCGGACCTTATATTGGAGAGGACGCGTGCGGCGGCGACGAAGACGGTGGTGGAGGTTGTGCCGAGACAGCCACCGAAGTTGCTGCTGAAGGTGACGATGATGGGGAGCCTTGGCCCCGTGCAGGTGGTGATGAGACCGGAATCGACCGTCGGAGATTTGATAGCGGCGGCGGTGCGCCAATACGTCAAGGAAGGTCGCCGCCCAATCTTGCCGTCCAACGACCCTTCCCACTTCGATCTCCATTATTCCCAGTTCAGCTTAGAAAGTAAGCTCTTAATTTGTTCTTACATAAAATCGAAATATAAGCAAAAAAATAAAATAAAATCAGAGTTTATTTTATGAAATTTTTTTCCGTCACGTTTACATTAATGACCCATTTGGACGTGGTTGAAAAAAAATTTCTCCAACAAAACAAAAAATTTATTTATATTTTTGCTGTTTGTAATTTCAAGGAACATAAAAATATTTTTTTAAGTAAAAGAAAGAAGTATACAATAAAATTTTTGGGAAAAAAATTGGTGTTTTTTAGTTAAATTTTAAATAAAAAATATTTTATTTAACTAAAATAATTATCCTTTAAAAAGGATAAATATTTTTCTTTTTATGATAGAGTTTGATATCTGTCCCCTTAAAAAAAATAAAATTATTTCATTTTAAGTGAAGGTGAAAAAAATAATAAAAATTATGGAAAAAAAGTAAATGATTTTTTTAATTTAAATTATGAAAAAAATATTAATTTATATTTTTCTATTTTATATAATTTTATATCTTTAAAAGAATACATATTTTTCTTTATTTATATATTTTTCTGCAAAGAAATTGATTTTTATGTTTTATTTATGGGGTTTGATTTTCTAGAATTCAATTTTGATGTTATAGAGATAAAAAGCATGTGGGACCTATGTGTTAAAAAAAATTATATGTATGATCTATGTTAGCACGAAAATCGAAAAATGTGTAAAAATATTTTAATTCTCATGTTGAATATTCTCATAAAACTTTTTATTTATTTATTTGAGTACAGGTTTGGATAGGGAGGAGAAGCTGATGGAAATTGGATCTAGAAACTTTTTTCTTTGCCCGAGGAAGTGTAGCGGCACGGTTGACAGTGGGGGTGGCAGGGAAGGTAACTCAACGACACCGTTTGGTTCGTGTTCGAAAGAGGCTGACAAAGCGAGCAAGGGTGGTTGGTTGAGGTTCATGGGATTTCTTCTTGTCAAATGATTGGGTCGTACTGGTTTGCCGCTGATGCCAGCCTGTTTCGAGTAATTTTTATTTTTATTTATTCTTATCTAGAATGAATGGCCTTTTCCTTTGTAAAAAAACGAAAAATAGGTCCGGCTACTATCTGTAGATTTGTGGGCACGGAATGCAACCCTTCGTTAGGGGTGTGCTTGAATTAAACTGAAATTTTTAAAGAACTAAATTGTATTGATTTAAATCAATTCGGTTTAAAGTATCAATTTTTTTTTTTTAATTCTAAACCTTCGTCTCGAAAATGATTTAGATCGATTTAAAAATGATTTGGTTTGCTTCGAAATAAATTTAGGTCGATCTTATTTTAAAAAATAAAATATTAAATAAATAAAGTACTAAAAATAAAGATAAATAAATAAGAAAAAATAAAAGAAAAGAAAAATCAGTTTTTAAATTAATTTTTAAAAATCAGTTTGGTTTATGAACTAATTTTTTTAAAATTAATTATTTTAAGTGCATTTAATTTTTTAGTTCTTTTGTGTATACCCATAGGCTTCATTTTTGTGTTTATGATTCTCAATCTATTTCCTTAAGCTATTTGGTTCAATTTTCTTTTTCTTTGATGAATCTTGTTTGCTTTTTTGTTGTTGTTGTTTCATACTTTTCCTGCACGGGAAGCAATTCCAGTTAGCAAGTCTGAAATTGGGTATACTGTCTCTAACAAAATAGAAAGTAAAGTTATTGATGTTGATATCTGCATGTTGAGGAATATCATTTATTATTACCATGTAATGTGTGTATCTCAACCGTATATTTCAATTCAGTTAACAGCAGTAATTATTTAAAATAATAAATATAATTCAAAAAACTATAATTATTATATAGATGAAAGATAATGATTAAGATGAGGAGTAAAAATCTCTGTATACATATATGAGAATGTTATAGTTATTACCTTTTTTTTTACTACATCTTAATACTAAATTTTAACCGTTGATTTTCGTCAATTTAATTGTTATAATTTATTAAAAATTAATAAGTATGACTTAATAAATTATAACCGTTAAATTAGCGGAAATCAACAATTAAGATTTTAAATTATAACCGTTAGATTAACGGAAATCAACAGTTAAGATTTGATAGTAAGAGATAGTAAAAAAAGAAGTAGTAAATATAACTTCTCCCTATATATATATATATTCATTAATTTTACAAAACAATATATATATATATATATATATATATATATATATATATATTTTTTTTTTTTTTAAAAAGGCCCACTCTCATATTGCCTTGTCAAATCCAATTACAAGTTTCATGTTTTATGAGTTCAAAACGAATAGCCGACTATATTCCAAAAGTCAAAATGTTAGGCCATTTTTGTGATGGGGCGCATGTAGGAGAGGATTGAAATTCCTTACATACTTTCAAATTTCAATCCCCTTCCCCCAGTTTAAGGAAAAGCAGCGGAAATATTTGAAAAAAAAAACATTTTTTATTCTCTATTTTAACGTAAGATTCAATTGAAAGTGTTTTGGACGAAATTAAATAAAAGTCAAGAGGGTTGGTTTAGCCAATAAGTATTATAAGCACTTCACATGTAACATTTATTATTATTAGAGATCTTGTATGGCTATTTGACCATTTTGCCCCTCATTAATTAATTAATAATTATTTTGCCCCTGATTCGAAACTATCTACCAATCTGTCCATCTTTAATCGACTAACTTGAATTCTTAATCGACTAAATGGTTGTTGAGAGATTTAATCGACTAAATCTCCCTACTTAATCGATTAAAAAATCATACTGACTTATTTTCCTTTGTTGTCTATTGGGAGATCTAGTCGATTAAATATGGAGATTTAGTCGATTAAATCTCTCAACAATCATTTTTGTCTGTTTTGACCATTTAATCGACTAAAAATGCAAGGTAGTCGATTAAAGAGGGGCAGATTGGTAGATAATTTCGAATCAGGGACAAAATGATTATTAATTAATTAATAAAAAGCAAAAGAGTGAAAAAGCCGATGTATTCATAAAAGTGTTATAGTAAGCCTTCATCGATCGAGTATTATTTTTACTTTAAAAAAAGTATTTTTACTATATGTTTCACATATAATTCGCACAATTGTCAATAAGAAAACATTTTCTCTCATTGTTTTACGTTTATTATCGACAATACTAGTTTAACTCGTATACAAAATACTAGGAGTTATAAAATAATAAAAGATGAAAAATTAGACTATCGTTAAGATATTAATAAATTATTTTCATAAAAAAAATGTTACAAGTGATTGGATTGTTTATAACAATTCTTAATTATGCAATAAAATAGTAATATATTTTTTTTTCAAAAATACGATATTACTAAAAAATATTAAATTTTGGAATTTTTTATATAAGATATGATAATAATGGAAGTTTATAATTTCAATTTTTTGTAATAATATATTATACATGACACATGAATCGTCCTTTTATGTATTTTTCATATATTGATTTTTTTTTTTTCTCTAGTGGCAGAGTAGTGCATGGACAGGGCAACATGGTGCCCAAGTCTAACTCGAATGTCTGTCCATCTCTAGCAAAAATGACTGCATATTAAATTATTAATTGACGTCTTTAAATATACATACCCCACAAACCTCCCAAATATCCATCAAGAAGACAGTGAATATCATATATGGGAGAGGACACGAGATGAATCAAATTAATGGCAATGAGATTGATCACTTGGTCAACTTTCTATTTATCACAATGCAGCCATATATAATCTCACTTACTATAACTTCTTGCTTAGTTAGTGGTCAACTTTCTATTTATCACAATGCAGCCATATATAATCTCACTTACTATAACTTCTTGCTTAGTTAGTGATTTGTCATAAACTTTTTATCTTTAAAACAACCCTAAAGGGGTTGTGTACCAAAACAACCCTATAATATTATTCTATGTTTTTTTTAAGAGTGACTATAAATAAATTTATTGATAAAAATTTGGTTAAAATAGATGGAGACAAAAAAAAAAACTCAGCTAATACCAAAAGACTCAGTCAGGTAGAATCTAGTCAGTACCAATATTGTATTATTTTTAAAAATTCAACTATTGTCAAGTATGTACCATAATTTTTAAAGAAAATCTATACCATTTTGAAAATCAGCTAAAACCTCAAATGGTGGAGGCTCCACCACCGGTTAAAATGCACATGGTCTCAAGTCTCAACCAATTATAGGGAAATATTTAATATGCTCATGGCCCACCACTTATTCAGTGGTCCAAACCAATCAAAATCAAGTATTCTTTGTGATATGTGTACAGAGAAGAGAGAAAATTTGTTTTTTTCTCCACGTGTCAGCCAGCCAATGGGAGGAGCACCTGCACCAGATGCATAAAAAATGCGCTCCAATTATAGGTGAATTTCATAAACTTCGTGATTCAAAACTCAACAACATTTTTTTAGGTAAAAAAAGAGGGCTATTGCCCAAACAAACTAAAAATTACAAACAGATGAAATTAACTTCCTATCAGCCGTTTACAAATTCCTGAAGTTCTAGAGGAATGGAGTTGTGGCTCTGATGTCTAATTCTCGACATGACTCCATGCTTGGCTAACCAATCTGCACAGGTATTACCATCACGGAGGACAAGGTTGATTTGGACTTCCCAATCTTTGTCTAACCAGTTCTTTAACTCTGTGATGAGAAGAGTTTGTCGAGTGTCATCTCTCCTAGTAGTAAGAGTAGATACAAGCTCCTCCGAGTCACCCTCCAGTTGCACGTTCCTGAAACCCATGCCCCATGCCAGTTGAAGACCTGACAAAGCTCCCCACATTTTTGCTTCAATAGGCTCACAAATACCAAAGTAGCTAGATATACCTCCTAGCCAGTCCCCCTTATCTGATCTAATTAAAGCTCCACATCCAGCAAATTGCTTTCTAATGCAAACAGCTCCATCAAAATTTATTTTTGTCCAACCAGAAGGTGGAGGTACCCAAATTGCTAATCGTCTATCTCCTCTAATACCATTATCGTGCAAAACCTTAGGTGGTTGGTGCATTAAAGGTTGTAGATATTGGGACATATAACTGAGATACCACCCACTTCCATCACTTATAGTAAAACCAACAATAGGTTTATTTATATCATGAATGGGTGGTCTCGTTGCCGTTACTAGTAATAAATTCTCCTCTTCACCTAGCCATTTATCTTGCCAGAAAGAAATTGAGTGACCATTCCCTATTTCCCAACGCAAATTTTGGATGAAAGAGGGCCATATTTTTCTAAGTGCTTTCCATAAGTGAGAATCATATTGTTTAGTAATAATGTCATTGGATAGACAAACACCCCTCTTATATTCGTAAGCATAACCTGAGCCCACGATAATTCAGGATTGTTGATCAGGCTCCACGTAAGCTTGTGGAGGAACGCAACATTTTGCATCTCTAGATTTATAATGCCCAAGCCACCCTTATCTTTCGGAAAGCAGATCTTTCCCCAAGGAATGAAATGCAAGTTCCTTTTCCCCTCCATCTCTCCCCACATAAAACGACACTGGAGTTTAGTTATCTCCTCACAAATAGAAGAAAAGCATTCTGCATGTGAAACATTGGCACTGCTGACACTACTGACTTCGCTAAAGTGACCCTTCCGGCAAATGATAAACAATGTGCTTTCCATCCATTTAGCCTATTGTGAACACGCTCTATCACTTCCAAGAAATCAGATTTGGAGAGTCTGTCGTGTTTAATTTTTGCACCAAGGTTAGCTATCAATTATGACTATTTTTAATGGCTTAGTTTTTATAATATTTGAGGTGAAGGCTGGATATTAGTGCATGGTAATGGGCCAAATGAGTGCCAATCAGCCCAAAGGTAAAAAAAGAGAGAAAGAGATAAACTAATGATTTACTACTCTCTTTTATTATTTTTACTGCAGTTTGAAAGCCAGATCAACTCTTTGAAAGCAAGATCAACTCTTTGAAAGCAAGATCAAATCTGAACCATTGGATGGACAAAGAGATGGATGGACAGCAATGCATTTTGAGGCAGCTTTTTAGTTTTTAGTTAAATAGGAGTCTGAGTCATTAGGGTCAGATACCGTACTTGTTAGTTTCAGTTTTACGTTTAGAATCTTTGTATTTTCTCTCTTCGAATCTGAGTGTTGAGAAATTGTCTTGAAAGCTGGTGCTTATTCTTCAATTCTTGATCTCGAAGTGCATTGACAACGCATTTTCAAGGAAAGGAACCACGGATCTGCATGCGAGCTATTGTTTTCACACTTCTGCACGTTTTCTTCCTAGCTCTAGTTTTGGAACTTTGACTCTTTAAGAACCGGTTTGTAACTTTACCTTGAGTTTTCTTTCATGAATGTTTGTGATGCAAGTTTCTTTACTTTTAGATTTGTAATATTTTTGAATATGGGTTTCTAATCTTTTCCTTTCTGGGATTCACGATGATTGGGTGATCTTTATTTTTCTGAATACTGTGATGGCTTGCTTTAGTTTCATTTGATTAGCAAGATTTTGATTTTAAGTCCAAGAACACCATGGGAATGGATATTAGAGTATTTTTGCATAACTATGATTGGGAAATCAGGTTATGTCCCTTGTTAATTGAACCCTTGAGGTTAGGGATAACCCAAGGAGGTCTTTGATACAATTTTTAAAGATTTAGAAGACTTTGGGAAAAGATCCTTCTAAAGATTAAAATCTGGAACTGGGAAGTTTCAGATAAAATAGCCATAGTAATTCGAATTCTGATACTAAAGTGCCGTAGCAGTTATAAAACGCAGGAATGCGAAATTTTTCCTTCATCCATGATTCAAAGAATTCCAGAACCTTATAATTGTTACATTTGTGAATAGATATCCCTCTGTTAAATTTTGCTTAATGCAAGTCTGATAAATACCTTGTTTCATTTAGAATTTTCTTAGTTTTAAAAGATTGATTACTTAAATTCAAGAAATTAGAAATTGGAATTAAAAAAGAAAACTAAACAACTTGTTCCCTGAGAACGATAACTCTTTCTTTTGAGAAAAATACTACCCAACAACCACCTGCCTATATTGGTCACCTTATTGAACCCGCTAGTATTAACTATTTCTTGCTCCGCTGATGCTGGTGTATTTCTTGAAAAGAATATTGTTGATTTAGCAAGGCTGATTTTTTGACCAGTGGAAAACTTTTCCATATAGTCAAGGATAACATGGAGCTAGTTAATGGAAGCTTCTGCAAAAAATAAAATATCGTCAGCAAATAAGATATAAGAGATCGAAGGACCATGCCTGCTAACTTTAACAAACTTCCATTTTTTATCAGCTACAACATCTGCTATGAGGTGTGATAATTTGTCCATACAAAGGACAAAGATATATGGAAAAAACTTCCATTGTTTAATTAAAAAAAATGAAAAGCACGGCTCCCATGAGTTTGCTGCAAAAATTTTGATTTTATGTTGAATGAAAAGTTTAAACCTCAATAATTCATTGTACAAACTATGCTAAAATGAATATAATCTTATTCAATTATTGGTTAATTTGAAAATTTTAACAATTTGAATCCCTAAACTAAATTTATGAGAGTCAGCATGCATGATTTGGTAAACAGATATTATTGTATTTTTGTTATCCAATCCATTTAACTTGAAAATCCTTGATTAAAGAGAATAAACTACTTGCTACTTGAAAATCATTGGCGATATTATTGTCTTTTAACCTTAAGGGGGCGTTTGGTTGATGAGAAATTTTTTAAATACTAGGGAAATGTAATTGATAGGAAAATGGTTGAAAAGTGAGTTAGGTAGGAAAATGTAAAAAAAGTTGTTTGGTTTGAACAAATTTTACCGGGCAAATTCGGTAAGATTTATAAAATCTATGTTTGGTTTGAGGTAAAATATAGATGGAGAAATAAGTGACAATTACGAAAATATCCCTGTTATTAAAAATTTTAAAATGAAAAAGAAAAGAAAATAGAAAACAGAGACAATGGAAAATGTGTTAGCCATAGTTGAATTCGTTGTAGGTTGGTGCTGAGTTCCTCTATTTCTAGATGGTTGAAATGTGTTAGCCATAGCAGCCATTGCAATTAAGGATAGCAAACATGTCCGACATACTGAATAGGGCTGATATATTTCCTATTTTCAGTTATGTATCCTTTGTTGAATTTGTTGCAACCGAGGAGAGCATGGCGTGAATTCATTGCTAACTTGGCATTCAAAATTGACGAGAGAAGGAAGCATAGTTGATAGTGTTAACAATCCTAGTCCCTGTGATTCATATTAAGCCAAGGAGGGTATTTTCGGTTGCTTCATTTTTGCTTTTTGCAATTTTGCTGGCTATCTACAAAAACCCATGTTCAATAAAGCTTTCTAAATAGTGTCAATGCCTAGCTATCATCTACCAAAAAGGGATTGCTATGCAAATGGCATAGATGAGAAACGTTAATGAATCTTGTGTACCAAACATAGACTTTGTGTTTTCCCAAGATGATTTGTCTAGGGATCTTTCAAAATCTCCTCAACCAAACAGCACCTAAAACTTTTAAGTTGTTGCTCTTGTGTATATTTAGAAAGAAGGGCCTAATGAAAGCCCACCTGAAGACTCTTTGATAGTCTTATGTTTTCGCAGGCCCAAATCATTGGTCGAGTTACTGTTATGTAAATGTCTTTCGACGAAAAAGTTATGTAAAAAAAAATGAAAAAATGAAATAAAAAATATTAAACAACTAAAATCTGTCAAAATATGAACTCTCTTTAAAATTTTCATTTTTTTTTTCTTCACTCAACTTTATTATATTAATTCATATTAGTAGATGCATTTCCGATCTATAGTTGGAGTAGATTTTTGGTATAAGGGGAATAGGAATAGGAATAGGTACTCTTTTACTAAAATTGAAAAAAAAAAAAAATTATATATTTTTTTTCATATTTACTAAATGATATACAGATCCAAATGGTTGATACATCCGTATTACCAAAAATGAGGACCCAACTGAAGCAGCAGCAAAACAATGATAATAAAATAAAAAAAAACTAAACTAAAACTGTAAAATCGAGTTTTTTTTTTTAAGTTGATTTAAATAATGAAGGAAAAAGCGAGGGGAGAAGCAGAGAACTCAAAAAAACCCTAATAGAGGGGGAACTGTGCACTATATATATTAAACCCTTAAACCCATTTTTCATCCTGATCGACCTTCTCTTCATCGCTCGGCCAGTCTTTACTCGTACTTGTGCCTCTCTCGCTGTTTCTTTCAAATGGAAATTCCAATGGAGTTTTGGGGTAAATTTCTCTCTTCTCTCCTTAATTAAGGTTGTTAATATGTTTTACTGTGTTTTGATTTCTAAGTGTTCTTTTTTTTTTTGTTAGATTATAATTTTTTGACTAAATGTTATGGTTTGCTGAGTTTTTTTGGTATTGTGTTTCGAATTTAGGTGTTGAGGTTAAGGTTGGGCAGTCTGTTAAAGTTGACCCAATGGATCCAGTTAGTGGATACATACACATTTCTCAGGTTAGAATTTTATGGTTATACATCGTATTTCTCTGTTATTGTTGTTTTGAACAAAAAAATATTCTAACGTTTTTTTATTTTTTGGCTTCAGGTTGCACTTGGGGAGGCAAAGAAAGACAAAGCAAGTGAACCTGTGGTTTTGTACTTGAAAGTTGATGACCAAAAGTTTGTTTTGGGAACTCTTTCTAGGGATGACATTCCTCATATATCTCTGGATTTGGTTCTAGACTCCGAGTCTGAGCTTTCCCACAATTCCAAAAATGCTAGTGTTTATTTTTGTGGATACAGAGTTGTAACGTATCCTTGACACTCTTGATTTGTTGGAATTTGGTTTACCTTTTCTTTTTTTTGTTTAAAGAAAGTATTGCCTTTAATATTTAAGAAGGGGTTCCTTGGCACAACCTATGGTGTTATGTCATGTGAACCCAGTTTGAAGGTCATAGGTACACAGGTTGCCCCTTTTAATGCCTTTAATTTTCTAAATGTTTTTGGACCTATTTTATTCATTTCATTTATAGCTTTGATTGAATTTCATATTGCAATTGTTGTATTGATTGGACACGACACGAATTTTTGACTAAATCTCATCCTGATATTCGAATACTTAATATGTATAACATCTTTCATTTTTCCTTAACTTCTGTGGCTCTAGTGAGGAAGGCAATAATTCTGACTTTTCTGGTAAGGTTCAAACATTTCTCTTGAGCTTGTTATTATTTTGATTAAGTAGGTTGCTCAAACATGTTTCATTTTGTGTGATTATCACAGATAGTGATGATGATCTTATATTGGAGGACGAAGATAGTGGTAGATGCTCTCTCATAATTTGAAATTTGTTGCTAGCTGTGCATACTACTACACAGATAACTAATAGTTATATTCATTTAGGAAAACCTGAAACAAAAGCTGGGGATGCAAAGGTTACTCAAGCTAAGAAACCTGTTGCTGTGGTTGGTGCATTAGCAAAACAAGTCAAAATTGTTGATCCAAAGAAAGATGAAGAGGATGACTCCGATGATGATGACGAAGATGAATTGGGAGATTCTGATGAGGTATTTTAGTCACTTTTATGTGATTTGTTCTTCTATGTGCGAGATGACATTTTCTAATCCAATATGCTCATAATCATGAATAGTTTTGCAAAATTTTTTGTATAGTACTTTTAAGTTTATCTGTAAGTCTTTTTGGTAAAGTAAAACAGTGCTTTTCTCTGTTATGAGAAGAATCTGTCAATTTTACTTACTGGTTTCCAAGGATTTCTTTTTTGGTAATTTTCCATCATTGATCATTATAGATGGATGCTGATAGTGATAGTGATGAGGAGAGTGAGAGTGATGAAGAGACCCCTGCTAAGACCCCTGTTAAGAAGGTAATGGTATTGTGGTTATATCATGTGTTCTTTTGTTTTATCATATAATGTCTTATATTATGATATGTGATGAGCAGACTTCACTTCACCACCTCTTATACATGACTTTATGTTTTGAAGGTGGATCAGGGCAAAAAGAGACCAAGTGAGTCTGCATCAAAAACTCCTGTTCCTACCAAGAAAGCTAAAAATGCTACTCCTGAAAAGACTGGTGAGGCTATCATATCTATATATTGCTTTGTATTTATAATAGTTTTCCCTTTGGTTCTTCCTTTTTCATAGATGTCGAATTAGACAAGTCATTGTTCTTGGATGCTTGGTTCGGTGCCAAGTCTATGATAATGCTTTCTTATATTAGTTTTATTGATGAATGTATTCATATTGAGCTTGTGCTATACCTAGGTATAGTAAATCATACATTTTTAATGTCATTCTCCGTATTGGAATGAAATATGTAAATGCTTATAATAATGGTTTTTAATGTTTTATGTGTTCTCCGTATGTAACATTCCATTATGCACTGCTCATTTTGATTAAATTTGTGTTGTAGATGGTAAGAAAAATGTACATACAGCAACCCCTCACCCTATGAAGAAGGGTGGAAAGACTCCCAACAGTGCAAAGAACCAGACTCCCAATTCTGGTGGACAATTATCTTGCAAAAGTTGTAACAAGTACGAATTTTTTATTTTTTATTTTTTATTTTTCGAAGAAGTAACCAAGTGTGATTCTAACAAACCTTAAAGAATAGTTTTGTTAAAGTTAGATTATGAGTTATGACTGACTTTTTTTTTTATTGTTTGTTTAGGTCTTTCACCTCCGAAACTGGTCTTCAATCACATAACAAGGCTAAGCACGGTGATAAGTGATTTTGCGATTGTTACCGTATTCATGTAGTAATTTTCCCTTGTATTACATTGAGTATGGTAAGAAAGTTAGGGTGTTTTGTCCTCGCTCTTAGACAAGTAAACGGTGGAAGGTTCAAGTTTAACGCATGGTTTGGAAATTTTGTTTGACGTTGCTGAGCGCCTATATTTTAAAATTGCTGCGTCTGAATCTTGTTTTTTAAATCGATTCTATGAATTTGAGTACTTGGAAATTGTAGTTGGGTGCTTTGCTTTTTCTATTGCGGTGTTAAACAGTTGGAAAGATTTGTTCTTTCTTTCTCTTCATCTCTTTCATATCTGACTCTAATTCTCTATTGCTACGAGATACCTACGTACAAATGGTATGGGCGTATGGCTGAAAAATTAAAGGAAAAGAGAATAGAATAAGGATATCGTATGCAAATGATTCAGTAATTACATTTACAGCTATCACTATCCTGAATCGAAGTTATAGTTGCATTTTGAACTTTATATAGATACATAATAATACAGGCTTTTTGAACCTTATGACCCTTAATTAATAATTAATTACTAAATTGCCTTTCATTCAAAACTATTTCGAAAATTTATCCTCCCCAACAAACATAACATCAATCTGCTCCTGTTTGACCGTTGATCACGAAGCCTACCCGGGTACACCCTTACCTACCTTGGTAATTTTTGAAAATTTTTATCTACCTGGGTATGTAGGGGTGTACCCGGGTAGAGTTCTTGAATCTGGGAAAATGGTTGAATTATTTACCCGGGTATAGAGTAGTGTACCCGGGTAAACATCGACGATAGGGTTTTAAAATACCCCAGCAGCCCCATTTCGAAAACCCACAAAAGGGGTACCCGAGTAGAGCTGCTGGAGGTGTGTCTTCTTGAGCGATTTCAGGCATAATCTTGCACCAATTCGTCTTGTTTCTGATCATTATTCGCGGACCTTGCAACCTCTCTGCCTTCTATCGATTGAAATCGATCAAAGGTGCATTTTTTTTTTCAGTTTTTTCAATTATGTTCTGATTTCTGTTCTGATTCATTGTATTTTCGTTTATATCATTTGATTCTGTCCGAATTATTTTATCAATTTGTATGTCATACGCTTACCCTAACCCTAACCCTAACCCTAACCGCATCTGTTACGAACTCCACATCTTCATCATCATTTATATCGTTTCCAATGTAGTATATTGTATCCATATCCACTACAGTCTCTAACCTGGCTATTATGCGGTGGATGGAATGTATGCCTTCTGACCCCATTTTTTGAAGAATTCTCTCCTTCAGTTCATTGCATGTAGTGCCCACTTTGATTTTCATCGTTTTTGTTTTTCCTTCAAATCGGACACCGTTCGAACCTTCAAAATGCCTCCCATTGTAGTAAATAACTATAGGAACCATGTTTGGACTTGAACTCATCTTTCACACAAAAATTAAATCTAGGTTTTCGGTTTGGAGGTTGGTTCGGATTTTTGACCACAAAATGGGAGTGTGGAGATGTAATCTCAATGTCCCACCAAGATTCAGCTTTCTGAAATGATGAGATGAAATATGTGTGATGTTTCGGATTAGAGAGGGTAAGAGAGAGAGATTTGGGGTTTAAAAAACCCTATACCTCGTAACAATGGCCGAAACCCATACATATTGGGGTTTCTGGACGCGATTTACCCGGGTACACTACTCCATACCCGGGTAAATAATTCAACCATTTTCCCAGATTCAAGAACTCTACCCGGGTACACCCCTACATACCCGGGTAGATAAAAATTTTCAAAAATTACCCGGGTAGGTAAGGGTGTACCCGGGTAGGCTTCGTGGTCAACGGTCAAACAGGGGCAGATTGGTGATATGTTTGTTGGGGAGGGTAAATTTTCGAAATAGTTTTGAATGAAGGGCAATTTGGTAATTAATTATTAATTAAGGGTCATAAGGGTAAAAAAGCCTAATAATACACCTTGTTTTCGTATAATGGTAGTTTCTTTTAATTATTTATAATATATCCTGTCTCTTCTTTAAATCTTTTGTAAGGTAGACATGATGTTAAGAATTGTAAGCGTCAAAATTTTAAATTTTTTATGTTGTGTCTATATTTTCTCACCTACACTGTAGTTTCAGTGTGCTCTAAAAGATCCAAATTCTTGTTAGAATGGTGGAGGTTATTTGGGCATCAATTTAACTTGCGCAATTGAATGTGTAAAAGCAATAAAAGTCAATGAACCTTATTCTCATGTATATCGACTTTATCTGTTTTATTTTATTCAATTAATTAAATTCATCGAAGATCGAATTCAGTTACTTCTTTTTAAAAGATTCTATAGTAATTATACATACATTTGATAGCGATATCTTTTTCCTCAACTCTGTTATTTATATTTGTAAGTTTCTTATTCTTTTCTTAACTGTAATGACATTTTCAATGGCTAAATTTTGGTAGAGCCTAAAGAAGAAATCTTGTAAATGTCTTTCCAGTAATTTTTTTTTAGAAAGTACAGATTTCGTTATATATATATTTTTTTAACGATTGAAGAAAATTGAAATTTGTAAAACTTCTTATATATTAAGTTGGATTTTAATTTTTGAATAGCATTTTATTTAGTTCATATATTTTTACTTATTTGGTTTTTGCTTTCTATCTTTGAGTATGGGAACATATGGGTTCTTATATTCTTTAGTAAAATATTTTTATTTTTCAAGAAAAATTAATTTTTATAGTTAAACTTTTTAAATAATTTACTTGAAGGATCAAAACCTAATGGTACGAAATTATAAATATTAAAATGATTTATAAAAATTAAATTCCAAACAAATTGGAATTTTACTAAAATGTATATACTATAAATAATAATAATAATAATAATTTACCAAGAAAAATCATGTAACAATGCAACACTCTTTTAATTTATCAATTTTGATAAATCTTGCAGTAAATCATATTTAAAATGTTATCTTCTACTTTTATTATCTTTGTAGTAGAAAATTATTGTTTCATCAATTTTATAATCTTAATATACTTTGAATATGATAAACAAATATAATTTTCACCCAATAATCTTCATTTTATTTGTTTCAAATACTATCTTATACGAATATATAAATCTTAGCCCTAAATCTTAGCCAAAAATATATTCAATACCAATAAATTTGGAGGAAAAAATGTACATAAAAAATACAATATAAAATCAGGCATATTGTGTCTACCAAAAATAAAATAAAATAATCAAGCATATTTAGGAACTTATTCCAAATATTGTCAATGTAAAATCTTCAAGCCATCCATCAAGAAAAAAAAAAAAACTCTTTTAGGCATCCCACGTGTCTATCATTTTTGCATATTTTTTAGGAATTTCAGAGATCTTCCTCAAGTTAAGCTCCATAATTTTCTCTTTAAAGAGATCCAAGTTAAGATCACACATGCATATTTCGTTCAAGTAAAGGTGTGAGGGATGCATGGCATTCAAAGGCTATACAACTAAAAGCGAGCTTTATGTTTGAAATATTCAAAGCTCCTCACAAAGTACAAATTTACAGTCACAACATACATAATTATCCAGTTCTAAATGCCAGTCTCCAACAACTAAAGTAAAAGCTTACAAGGTAAGAAAGCATCCCAATATGCTAGAAAATCAATATGAAAACAAAATAATGCCGTCTCCCTCAAGCCTGCCATAACAAGAAAACAGATATGCCAGAAGACCTCACCTACAAATTCATCATAGCATGATTGCTTGCCATCTGAAGCGCTTCTGAAGATCACCAAAATAGTAGTAACCTGAAAGATCCCACTAAAACATCCTGCCTGACCGCAAGCCCAAAACCTGTACACAAATTCCATGGTAAACTGCAATTAAATCAATGGCTTGGTTCATAGAAGCAGGGATACCTGAACCTGCAAAACTAACATAATGTAAGATAATGACTAGTTCAAATTTGACCAAAGGGTAAAATAAAGGTCACAGAAAACAAAAACCCATACAGAACCATTGAAATTGGTTGTTCGGTATCCTTCATGTATGGTGGTGATCAGTGTCCCTGACTGTAAGATAATGCATCCAAGCACAAGTGCAAATCAACCACAGTAACAAGCATACATGATTAACTGGATGGTAATAACTAGCCAGTTGAGAAAAGGGAAGCTGTTTCTTAGAGAAAAAAGGTAAAGATAATGGTAGCTTCGCAGCCTATAGTTGTCTATAACAAGAGGTCATCTCTTTTCATGATTGTACACAGTTGCTGATGGACATGGAAAGTGCAAAGCAACTTAACCACATATGAAGAAATCGATAGGAATGACAAAAGGGAAAAATAATTGTGACAATGAAGAAATGGCTAGAATTTGGCCCAATCTTGGTAACAGGACTGAAAAATTTATACAAACACAAAGAAGAAAGAAAATGTTTTCCCATCACTTTCTACAAAACTTCATACATGCAGCGGAAAACAAGGGAGGCTCACTACACTACTCAGATGCATTTTGTCACTTATAATTTAGACTATAAAAATGCTATCTTAATGCAATAGAACCAGCTCCTATAAAAACCCTGTTGAAAAATTGGCTCAGAAGAAAAACCTATCAAGAAGCAGATCAAGCTACAAATACAATCAATCATGATGTATGCAAAATAAAATTGCAAACTACAAAATTTAAAAAGCGGGGTAGGGAGGAGAAGGAAACACATTCCATATGACAGATTACAGAACAGTGCACCTGTACCACCTGCACAGTGGAAAATGGGTGGTAAGCTATATTTTGTGGGTGGTGTACTACGGAATCAAAACTTTTTCCTAGGGCTATAAGGAATGTGCAGAGAAAAGAGATAAAGGAGAGTGAGGATACAAACCAGAAGACCATAAAAGTATTAGTATCGATATCCTCCCTCTTGAGGTTGATGCTTTCGCTGCTCGTGCCCATGATACTCATTACCATCATACACAGACCCATTGTTAACACCATTGCTTTCCTCAGTATTAGCCTTACTCGAATGCTGTTGCTCTTCCCTTTCCCTGTTCCATTGCTCAATTCTGGCACGTCTCTCTTCACTGCCATCTCTGACAGGACTACGATTCCTCCTTCCTCCAGGACTTCGACTGCGACTTCTTCCTCTCCGGTGTCCAGGACTTATGCTCCTGTATTTCTTGCCACGAATTTCATGATGATGACTCCTGTCATGATGATGACTTCTGTCATGATGCTTCCTACTATGACCATGATGAGATCGGTCCTCGTGGCTCTTATGCCTGTAAGGACTCCTGCTCCTGCTCCTACTTCGACTGTGCCGGCTGCGGTGGGGGTGCCTCCCAAACAATTCACGCCTCAATTCCCTGCAGCAAATACAAATTAACAACTTTAAGCTTTTAAAATGAATGCACAATTGAGGATCAATGTTCACAGTTCACATCAAGAATATCAGATTAAGGACAATATTACCTGCTAATACTTTTCAAGTGCATAAAGTTGCAATAGCCACCGCGATTACAAGTATTCTCTTCATACTGCCTGCAAGTGGCCTCACGGAAGTCTGTTACAGGAGAGAAATCTACAATAATTGGCCGGCCTGCATACAAGGAGTTGGTGTTCAAACGCATGTATTTTCGAACCCAAAAAAGGCTAATAAGTTGTTTAGCAAGTTTCATGTTTCCATTATTAATTACAAAAAATGTCACATTGTTTACATTCAGTTCCTTGTTTTCAACATTTTATGATGGAAATGATTAGGACATCATTTTGTTACTTTGATCATTTCCTTTAGAATGTAATATTTTTGTAACTACTAATACATACAGGAAATGGATCATCTCATGTGTAATTTAACATGATCATGTCATGTGGGAAGATCTTAACCATTAATAATTAAATCAACGGTGATAATTGTGTAACTTCCTATCCTTATATTTTTTATCTCTCCTCCCTTATCACCATTAACTCATCCATAAATACATATCAACTGAAACAAAAAAAAAAAAAAAAAAAAAACCTAGTAGTTACAATTTGGTGGTCATCAAATATTCATCAGATATAAGCAGAACACCCGTTTGACAACATAGACAATTGAAACTACATAAGAAGCAGAGAAGAAGAAAAAAATTATAGAAAAAATAAACAACGAACTAACCAGCATAAAATCTTCCAGTAAGGTTCTTGAGTGCATTGGCAGCATGTTCTTCCTCTCTGAACTGAACATAAACATTACCGACCTGACAACAAATTGAGGATGCGAGCTTCATGCTTCTGTTCTTTATTTATTTATTTATTTATTTTAAAAATAAAAAATAAAAGTAAATCTGAGAACCAAAAAGTATGAAAGTGAAAAAAAAAACAAGAGAGGGGTACCATGTGGTCGGCGAGGTTGTCGCAAATGTTGAGGCTTTCAATGTCGCCGTACTTGCTTAGTTCATCGAACAAGTCTTGGTAGAATTCGTCGAAGTGTTCCTGGATCTTCCTCGGGTCGATGGGTTGGCCCTGTGCGTCCACGCCAGGTGTTATCATGTCGGGTCGCTGGTACATGTTCGACAACAACAACGTTGGGCTAATGCTTGGCTTCGTGTGCAACCTCGAACACCGATCACCATGTCTACACGCTCCGATTTTGAAATAGAATGGACAATTCACTCTGTCTTTCTCCGTCCCAAATATCGATGCCAAGTGCTCCGCCATTGCAACACACACCACCACAGATTTTCGAATGAGAGGATCAATTTGGGTTTCCTTCGCTTCTTGTTTTGAGAAATGTTTGTGTGCGTGTTCCTTCCTATAACTTCTAGATGGTTCCGTCTGAAACGTATACAGAGAAATATAAACATATATATTTTACTAATAGATTAATTATTTTGGCGATCTTATTCAACAAGCTGGTTTGCCCGAGAGGTTAAGGGGGAAGACTTAAGATCTTCTGCACATAAGTGCGCGTGGGTTCGAACCCCACAGCCAGCAGTTTTTGTTTATTTTTGATAGGATAATTATTTATTAATTATTTAGTTTTATAAAACGTGTGAATATAAAGTATACTTTTTGACTTTTATAGATTTTTGTTTTCTTATTTTTTTTGTTTAATTTTAAGATTATCAAATTGGGCCTATGAAATCTTGGTCTGTACAAATCTCACGGAAACTAAAATTCGACTAATTTGGGCCAGACAAGCCTATGAATGATCTTTGGAAACTTCAGTTGCAAAGTAGGACGTTGGTCCGATAGAAGAAGCCCAATTAAATCATTCAGTCTACGTTCTTCAATCCAATAGCATTAGTGTCAGAGACTCAAGAGTATTCTCAAGTGTAGGCTTGACAAAAATGAGCCAACCTGACATAACTCGGCTAAAATGAGTCGGGTTGAGTTAGAGAAAATACGTTACTAACTCGAGTCAGCCCGACTCGTTTCAGCTCGAAAAAAATCGAGCCAACCCACGGGTCAAATAGGTTGACTTGGGTTGGCTCGCGGGTTATAGGTTTTTTTAATAAAAGTATAAGAATTAATGAAGGTAAAGGGGAAAGCTAAAACCTAAAATTTCAATTTCAAAGACCCAAATGAAAATACCCTGCAGCTACCAATAAGACCAAAACCGTGCATTAAGTACCTTTTTTATAGTATGTGTGACAGTGTGGATGTGGTGCCAATAGCCAATGAGTCCAATTTCAAATGCAAAAGGAATTTTCTATGATTTGTCTGTATAATGTCTTTGTATTGAAAGAAATAATAATTTAGGAAAAAAATTTAGAAGTTATAGCATCAATGGAATTTTATTTATTTTTTCCATTTTTTCGAGCCAACCCTAACCTGACTTTGGTCGGGTTGGGTTGAGTTTTCTGGCTTACTTATTTTTCAAGTCAACCCTAACCCGGCTCATTTTTTTCAAGTTGAACGCGAGTTGGGTCGAGTTGGTCCGTTTGGCCAACCCTACTCGAGTGAAAGTATCTCACACATTACTCGATTAAAGAAGTAACACATTACTTCACATAATCATACAAGCTATTCGACAAAATGAAATAAATTTTTATCAAATATTATTTAAGCAGTTACATAATTGCCAAAAATATTATTCTAAAAATACATTAGAAATTCCCCAAATGTTCAACACTCATGAAAGGGAAAAACCAAAGAGTAAGTGTGAAATGGACAGCTCCTCATCTCCAATGCAAGCTGGTAAGTCATTTTTTTATGTTCCTCAACCTTTTCCTTGATGCACCTACAAAAAGATCAGATTCCCCCCTCCTCCCTAAACAAAGTCCTTCTTCCTTTGAGCAATGGACTTTATGGCTCGTTTGGATGAACTTTTAAAAAAAGTACTTTTTATAAGTTATTTTTTTTAAAAGAATTTTTTTTAGAAGTTAAAATTATTTTACATTTGAATGCAATATTTGAAAAGTAATTTTAACTAAAAATGTTATTTGGATGTTAAAATAAAAAGTACTTTTAGTTTAAAATTATTGTTGTGCCCTTTGTTATTTGTTTCAGGAAACCCACCCCAATTTCAGTTTTCAGACAAAATCGAACAACAAGACATTGCAGGGAACAAAAGTGAAGTTTGTTGTTGTTGATTTTTTCTCTCCTTATGCAAAGCCCTTCATCCTAAGGTATTTTTCATCCTTTTGCTGATTCATCCCTTTCCAACAGTAACCGGGTAAAATATGAGTTGGGGAAAGTGTTATGTACCGTGGTTTATTATGGGTTCATCCTTTTGAATTTGAATTGCAAAAAATTTCAAGAAATCAAACGTGGTTGAAGAATAAAAGTCTTGCTAGTGGTTCTGGTAAACGAGGGATAATGGTTGAAGATGGAAATAAAGGAGAAAGAAGATTCAGATGTCGAAGAAACTGACGGTGTCACGAGGGTCATTTCTTGCTTTTGGCTTCTGCTTATTTTAAAAGTCACAATTTTTAGCTTTTAAAGAAAGTAGAATTTTAACTTTTTTATTAACTTCTCCTTTTTTAAGAAGCCAGCATCCAAACAGGTAAAAAATTCTAAGAGTACTTTTAAAAAAAAAAAAAAAGCAGCCTTTTCAAATGTAGAAGCTGATCCAAACGTCACCTTAATCAATGATTATTACATTACATAACGTGTGGGATGCTCAACCTTTAACATAATATTGGTAAAAAGAAATTATGTTTGAGAGAAAAACTCAAAATAAAAATGGATAGAAAAATATTTATTTATTTAATATTAATTATTAAAAGAGTTTTGATTCTTAAATATTTGTAATGATATTATAATAATAAAGTTAATCTTCAAAAAAGTTGGGGGATATGCTGTTAGGTGTTAACCTAACGATCAAGAAGAGAGAACAAAAGAGAAAGAAAGGAAACATAACTTTGTATTATTTCATGCATAGAACTTTTCGTACAACTGTTTACTCTTTTATATAACAATACCCAAACGACAAACGTCACATCCCACTACAACTACTTACAACAAATTCAGTTCCCTTGTAACCAACCCTCAACCAACCAAACAGTATAATATTTCCTACCCCCTTGTGTCATTATCAACCATTCCTACAAAACACCAATTTATTTCTCAACATACTCTTTTAACCAAGTAGGCTTACGTCCGTCTCTAGATAATCCTTTCTTCTCCGTAACAACTGAGGAAAATGTTGTCCCGATCCGAAACAATACAGCGAGGGAAGCCATGCAACTTCACCACTATATCACAAAATAACCGAGCGACAAACATAACATTATAATGAGATTGAAGAGGCTCAAAATGTGAAAACTTAGATAGTCGATCCACTATTACTAAGATCGTCGTAAGGTCATGAGAGATGGCAAGTCCCACACTAAAATCAAAGGATAAGTCCTCGAAAACCCTTTCAGGTGTAGGTAGAGGATGTAACAAACCAATAGAAGCTAAAGTGGATGTTTTAATCTATTAGCACATATGGCAGCGCTCAACAAAGTCTTTAACATCCATGTGCATACGATCCCAGTAAAAACTGGCCGAAAGACATAAAAATGTACGCAATATACATGCGTGACCACCAATAGGAGATAAGTGCGCTTCGTTCAGAAACAACTGCTTAAGATCGGATATAGGACTCAACAGGAAACGGTTCTGGTGAAACAGCAAGCTATCTTTATGAACCACTAGAAGACTTTTTGGTTTCCCTTCATCTAGTTGCTGATGTATAGCCACCAAATAAGAGTCTATGGAGACTTCATTTACTCAACAAATTCACAAGAAGGCTCTGAAACTAAGGCACATAACGAAGCTGCTTGAGAGTCATCATCAAATTGATGAGATAACGCACTTGCCACTATATTCAATGTTTTTGGCTTGTACTCTATGAAGAAATTATTTCCCAGGAGCTTGCAAATGAACTTCTGCTGGTGATCTGTGCGAATGATAAATGGAGTACCAAGGAGGTATTGGCGCTATTTTTTAACTGCCTCCATAATGGCATATAATTCCCGGACATATGCTGAGGTCACTATCAAAGGTGGACCAAGTTTCTTACTAAAAATGATAAACGATAAGGGCCTTCCATCTTGTAGTAACACAGCCGCTACCCCCCATCCCCCGTCGCTGCCCGAGTTAGACGCATCCATTTCGACCACAAATGAGCGTGTAAAATTCAGTAAACCCAACACAGGTGTCTGCGACATCACCCTCTTTAAACGCAGCATCTTCCTCTGTTGACCACCTAAAAGAATTATGCTTCAAAAGATCACTGAAAGGAGACGCTAACAAAGCATAACCACGCACGAAGCGTCTATAATATCTGGTCAGGGCTAAGAACCCCTTTAACTGTTTAACCAACCAAGGAGGAGGCCAATTTTGCATTGTTGCAACCTTTTTGGGGTCTGCTTTAACTCCTTGAGGCAACACCACATGCCCAAGATATTCAATCTCCTTAACTCTGAAAGCACACTCTAACAATTTGACAAGAAATTGGTCGTGCTGCAAACTATCAAAAGCTAACAGAAGGTGGTGCAAATTATCACTGAATGACACACTATAGATGGGTATGTCATCAAAGAAGGCAATGATGAACATATGGAGGAACGATTTAAATAGAAGGTTCATCTTGGATTGGAATGTCAAGGGTGCGTTTGTGATAAGAATAAGGAGACAACACCTAGTGATCCATTGCAATTGCCAAATGGGCCAATCACAAGATCAAGGACCAAGAAGTTTAAAGAAGCTCTTAGTGGGTTGATCCAGCAAATGTGGGCTAATCATGAAGACATCAAGCCTAAATTTATTCATAATCAAAATTTAGTCAATGTCATCAATACAAGGGAGGTTGAGTGGAATGAGTAGCAATTTGCAATGTCAATTAATGCTTAGTGGGGTTGATTCACATTTCCAACGTCATTAATGTTTAGTGGGCTGATTAGAGTCTTTTCCTTTTTCCAAGTTGTCAACTTTAAATTAGTGTCTTTTCATTTGCTAAGTCTTTTCCTATTCTTGGAGGGATGTTCCAAGTATAAATATGGGAGGATATAACTCTTGTAATCAGATTTTGAAGTTATAATATAATAGAGAAGTTTCTTTTCTTTGGTTCTTATCTGAACTCTGAACTTATCAAGAAGTTTGTTCTTGTGGCGTTCAAACCAGACTTATCACTCACCTTCTTCTTTCTTGAGTGTGGCGTCTTTATCCTTCTTATACCTTTGGTTCTTATCTTCCATAGATAACGGGTCAAAGTTCTTTGTTTCTTATTTTAAATTCCTGATTGTAGAAACGATCCTAACTAAATTGGTCTTGGGTCTCACTATTCTTGGTGAGGTTCATATCATTTGGTATCAAA